GGAGGTAATTGGCAGTAGGCGGTCTCTCAAATACCCAGGCCCACTACCATGAAGGGCTTTATAGGTGATAAGTAGCACCCAACTTGCAGCCTCCATGAAAGAATTAATTAGCAAGCTGTGCTAATTGATTCCAAATAAATCCTCACATGCTGATTTAGGATTATTTGAAAAATAAACACTGTTTTTCTTCTGCTTGTCTTCCGATCATGTCTGAATGCCAGCTTCTTCTGTTTCTATTCCTGCTGGCTGCCCAGAACACTCATCAATGGCAAGGGACAGAAAACCTCTGATGCCAATTGAGACGTTCCCTGTCAAAGAGGTTGGAAAAGATATCGACAGGCTTTCTCTCAACACTTCCAGATTCAATACTTACAAAATCCAGGCTGGCATTCTGAATGTTTGTTCCTAATCCTCTTCCAAGCTGGAGATCTTAGATTTAATTATGCAGTCATTGCTGTACGCATATGATAATGCTGACTATGCTGATGCTCCTCAGCACCTCTGCCCAGTTCAGGATGATCTTCTAAAATGCACCTAGGTGTAAATGTGGTTTCCTCAGGTCAGAATTACTTTTAAGTTAATTCTGATACAGGTTATATAGTAAATGTCAAGTAATAGAGTATGACAGTCGCCTAAATGTGATTTGGCCACATTCTTTGGTTTGCAACTGAGAAATGGGAAAGCTAAGTCTTTCTTTTTTAGTACTTTAAAATTCTTTAGCTCCAAAATGCTTGCCCAGATTCCAGACATTTTTTTCCTAACTTTGGCATTTTAAAGAATGTATGCTTGTGTACAGCCATACAAATAATATAAATGTACTTAAGAGTGGCTCAGTGGCTAAGACGCTGAGCTTGTCGATCAGAAAGGTCGGCAGTTCGGCGGTTTGAATCCCTAGTGCCATGTAACGGAGTGAGCTCCTATTACTTGTCCCAGCTTCTGCCAACCTAGCAGAAGGTTAGATAAAATGCAAGTAGAAAAATAGGAACCACCTTTGGTGGGAAGGTAACAGCGTTCCGTGCACCTTCGGCGTTTAGTCATGCCGGCCACATGAGCACGGAGACATCTTCGGACAGCGCCGGTTCTTCGGATTTGAAACAGAGATGAGCATCACCCCCTAGAGTCAGGAACGACTAGCACATATGTGCGAGGGGAACCTTTACCTTTACAAATATATA